CAGTAGCATCTTAGGTGCCTCTGTTCTCCTTAGCCACACTACCAGGCCCCTGCCTCGCTCTCATCTGCATCTCTCCCCTCTCAATCAGATGCTTTCACTTGCCTGCCCTCCTCCCACAGAACACCCACAAGAGTAAAATCTTCCCTCAGGGCTCTGTAACTGACTCCTACTCAATATAGGAATCAAGGGGATGGGGAGATGGCTCAGTAGAATAAGCACTTGCTTGGAAAGTGTGAGAGCCTGAGTTCAATCCCAGTTCTGCCAAAAAAAAAAAAAAGGAATCAAATTGCACACCCTTAGGGAACTCATTTCTTATCTCCTGACCAGATTATTTTGGATGTTACATGTGTATATATTTACAGTGAATCTGGAACCCCTTCTTCATAGTTCTGATTATAAGTACATCTTTACACTTTTGCATTGGATGGTTTTGTTGCTGTGCACTCTGTTTTATGCAAACCCCAAAATACTAAAATGGTACCTGAAACAAAATGGATGTTCAATATCTATATGTGGGGTGAATGCATGAAAATCTTGCATAAAAGTTACTTATACTCCTTGTAGATTGTCTAAGTCTATAAAGGCTTTGCAAGCCCTGGCCCCAGGCTGCTCAATCCCCTGAGGTCTGTGTCTAAAGGAGTCCCACTGTTAGGTCTTGGGGTACACTAAGGAGTGCACAAGTGTGCCCACTTAGTGTCTTGGGTGTGTGGATGGATACTTTAGCTGCCGCGTCTCTCTACATCATCTTCTCTACAGGTCAAGCTAACGTGCCTGGGGCTCTTCTAAAGCTCTGCAGTTATGGAAAGTATCGCCGCTCCATGTTGTCTCTTGTTTCTAAACTAATCCTTTGCTTCTCTGCGATCCTGGGCATTGTTTGGTTTCAAAATGACACTAACTGATTTTCTTGGATCTAGGTGATGCTTATGCAAGTTTTTTTGTTGAACAATGTGCTTATAATTTGTGCACTTGTAAAGGATGTTACATTTCAATATAAAACATGAAAAAATTAGGCCTTAATAGCAACTTAAATAATGAGAGAGAGAGACACAGACAGACAGACAGACAGACAGACAGACAGACAGACAGACAGACAGAGAGACAGACAGACAAAAACAGAGAAACAGAGAGAAGAAATAATAAAGAGAGGTTAGAGTAATTATTTTTTAGAGTAATTATTGACTAGACACATTATGGAAATGTCATAAAACAAAGAAATAATGAGATATAATTATTTGCAGTAGGGGCCAACCAGATAGCTTAGCAGATTAAAGCGCCTGCTTAGGCAGTTGCAGGGGCTGGGGTTTGATTCCCAGCCTGCTGCACTGGCCCCACCCCTGGGGCACGCTGAGACAGCAATTGAGACTGGAATCCCAGCACTTGGGAGGTTGAAAACAGGAGAATCACTACGAGTCCAATCTACATAGTGAGACCCTGTAGACCCTGTACTAAAAACAAAAATAAAATAATTATTTTCAGTAGCCAAAGTTCATGTTAAATATTCACTTATTAAATTTAGACAGCAAATCACTATGTACTGTGATCCCGTATAATTAAAGGGAGAAGCCTAAGATATGAAATCCTTGTGGACTTATAAATGGGTTCTCACTCTTTGCCTTTTATTTCATTCATACTACCTATTAAAGAAAAAAATATCGTGTTCTTTTAAAAAATTATTTAATTTTATTTTGAAGAGTAAAAACAGAAGCAAGAACAAAAATCAGAAATAAATACAGAAACAGAGCAACGTACAACAATATATATGTTATAGATTTTCAAAACAAGAATGTCTGGTTAACAATGGTTGATATATTATCTATTTTTATTGTCAAATCTGTTGCTCAGATTAACAGATATAGTTATGCAAGATTGAACATATAGTTGCATATTACTGCTTGCTTTCAAGAAACCCTAAATTTTTGTTATCTCTTTTTTTTACTTTTTTAAAAAATTTATTTTAAGAGTATAGTAATTTGATATGACATTAGAAATGGTACACATTTAGAAGACCAAATGACAGGTATTCAAGCATGGGTTTTGTATTACACATTGCTATCCTCAATGTAGTTACTTAGACTGTAGATATCAACATACTGAGTTAGTCAAAGTGAAAATTCTACATATTAACTGCTATTTTAAAAAAAAACTGATGGAAATTCTTGGTACAATCACCTCAGCCATCCTGTATATATACTTGCATGTTTTCCCCTCCCTTTTTTCCTATATATTCTTCTTTCTCTCATTTTCATTGTTTAATCCTTAAATTCCATTTTAGTATATCGATTATACCTTTAAGGTTTCATTTAGCAAGTTTTCTTTTTCTTTTTTTGACAGTACTGGGGATTGAACTCAGGACCTTGTGCTTGCCAGGCAGGTGCTTATGCCACTGAGCTGTGTCCCCAGACCCTCAGGTTTCATTTATTCTTTCATCTTCTTATACTAGGGAGACAATATGATATTTATGTGGGTCTGATTTATTTCACTTATGAAAGTATGAGTATAGCCTCTATTTGCATACACGTATCTATGAAGGCTATGACAAATTGGGCTGCTGTAAACATGGGTGCACATATATCACCATGGTCTGATGTTTTCAGTTCTTTTGGGAAAATACCCAGAATTAGAATAGCTTCATTGAATGGGTGACTATAAGTCCTACTATTCTGATGGCTCTCCACACTGATTTCCATAGTGGTTGTACCAGTCTATTATTAGGAATATCTTGCTTTTTAAGATTTATAATCCCTCTTCTCCCTCCTATACAAAACCAGTAAAACTGACTAGAGATCTAGTGAGAACAGCTAGAGAAAAGAATTTTTGTTCCTAGATCAATTCCTGTGGGACAGAGCCTCCCATGATTAGGTAAAGTGTAGAGAACATTAGCAGGGAAGACAGAAAGTCTCAAACTGTCTACACAACCAAAACCAGACCCTCTCAGGAAGAGAAGACAGGTAAAGGAGCAGGAAAGAACACGATGAAGGAAACCACGATGCAGCCTGGTGTGGTGGTGAATGTCTGCAACCCCACGCTCTGGGATGCTGAGGCAGGAAGACGGCAAATGTCAGCTTAGTTTACCAACTTACTGAGACCCTGTTTTAAATAAAAATAAAAAATAAAGGGCTGGGAATGTAGCTCTGCATAAAAGCTCCAGGTTCAAGCCCTAGTACTGAGAAGGAAAATAAAGGAAAAGAAACAAGAGGAGGGTGTTGAAGGAGAAGGAGGAAGGGGAAGGGAGAGGGAAAAAGGGGGGAGAGGAAAAGGGGAGCAGAAGAAGGGGCAGGACAAGGTGGGGCTACCACAATGTCAATATTAGAGAGCACTTAAAGGAATTCAGTGATGGCTTACTAAATAACTGGAATATAGAAGAATGAAGTAGATAGAAACCAATTTTTATAAGTGTGTTATGAGTTGTGAAGTGGATTGCCTGAATATTTTATGATAGATGAGTTCTAGGCTGGACACTCTGGATGCCATTTTCTGCAGAGACTAAGCCATAGAGGGAGGGCTTCAGGAAGTTTTTTTTTTTTTTAGCTCTGTGAAGAAGTTTCCATTCTTAAAAAAATAATATGGAGTTGGAAGTGGACTAGTGATTTAATTTTCAGCTATAAACTTCTGTACTAATCATATTTTAATATAGATTATGAAACTTATACAAATTTTAGATGCTCAATATAGAAAGCAGAATAAGTAGTATTCATTTTTTCTGTACCCTGTAGGTGCCACTTAATGGTATAAGAGGAATAGAAGTTTTCAGGTAGGGTTGTTCCCATCCTGAATAGTCATTCAGTAACTCGACTGAAAACCCAGGGCATGTGGATGGAGGTATGTAGTATGATTTGAGAAGATTCAGTTCTTTGGATATTCAAAGGCAGCAGAGCACTCTAAATGACTTTCTATAATATCTTAGGGAAAAGAAGAGATTCTGTTAGAAAAAGAATACTCCACATGCTCATTGATCCATTCATTCATGTGTTCACCCAAATCCCGCATCTCCTATGCACCAGGTCCTATGGGGCTGGTTTAAATAGCAGTTGTCTCTCTGCCCTTTTTCTTACTGTGTGCATGTTAGAGTCTCTGGTTGTATAAGTCTTCCCTGAAGCCCACCACATCTAGCAGTGATGGAGAAAGAGGTGCTAACTATGATGGGCAGCTGACCTTGGGAAGATCCTGGGATCTCCCCAACAAGGAGCTCGTGGTGACACAAGGTCACATTCTTCACTTACTGCCAGGAGGACCTGAGGACTATCTACCCACTTCAGTGGAGTTCTAGATTCTGTTTTAGGTCAGAATTTTATGGGAAGAACTTGTTGGATGGGAAAATGCAATCCACAAAGTCCACTGTGGGCTCAGGGCTCCTGCCCCGCAGCAGAGCCTTCATCCCGTGGTGCTCCTGAGAAGCTCTGATGTTCACACCCCCTAAGCATCCATCAAGATAGACTCAAAGGCTCCACTAACCCACCATGATGCCAGGAGGGCCTTGCTAGGCCCTAACTTTCTCCTTAAACTAACCAGGGAACAGAAAGAAGGCAGTCCTCAACCCTAAAATCTCCAGCTTCTCATTTGCTCAGGGATGTTTATTGGAAGTATTCTGGAAGGCTTGGTCTGTTCACTAGCTTGGTCTGTTTGTTCAGATTCATACAGAATTCTCTTCTAGAAAAAAACAGAGAGTAAAAGAGAGATGCCCAAAGAGACTAGGATAGGAAGGCATAAATATGGACCAAAGAAATAGACTGTAAATCACTGTGCATTGCATTCAGAGCTTTATTCTTGCCAAAGTTTGGTATTTGCGCTGACTCTGGCAGGATGCCTTGATAAAGAAGCAAAGGATGGTGGGAAATTGGTGAAGCTCTCTACCTTGCTAGGAATGAAAGAGAAGGGGCTGAAAGCTGGGGAGGATTCGAAGGGCATAGCCAGGCAGTGAATTGTGCACCAGAGTTGTCCTTCTGCATTTAACAGCAGCAGTCATCTTCATGGTCACAGCATGCAGGACCTCGAGATCTCATGGGGATAATTCCCAAACAGTGGCACCCCCCTGAGCCACAGCATCCCCCCGAGCCACAGCACCCCCCAGAGCCACAGCACCCCCCAGAGCTGCAGCATCCAGAATCCTCACAGCAGCCAGATGATCCCATGTTGCAGTCCTGGGGCCGCTGGACCCAACGTCTCAGGGGACTGACCCCAAAGGTCCGGGGAGCAAGACAGCAATAGCTGGTGGAACAGGGAGCAGAGCATGGGTCAGGAACACAGCCCTGGGAGGCTGAGCCACTCGCAGAAGCTTGAGTGTAGTAGGTCTGGCCAGAAGAAGGGTACTGGACATAGTATGTCCGGGTCTGGTAGGGAACTGGATATTTGACATAGGTTTTCTGGCATGGAGCTGGGCTCTTCACATAGGTCGTCTGGCATGGAGGTGGGCACTTCACATATGTCTGGCAGGGGGCAGGGCATTTCACAAAGGCTTTGGTCTGGCAGGGGGCTGGGCCCTTCACGTAGGCTTGAGTCTGGTATGGAACTTGGTATTTCACATAGGTTTGAGCTGGAACTAAAACTGGGTAACTCATGAAGGCTTGACCCTGGCCCGAAGCAGGGCCCGTCACACAGACAGTTGGAGCCTGCCCTGAAGCAGGGCCCGTCACACAGACAGTTGGAGCCTGCCCTGAAGCGGGGCCCGTCACACAGACAGTTGGAGGCTGGCCTGAAGCAGGGCCTGTCACACAGACAGTTGGAGCCTGGCAGGGAGCAGGGCCGGTCACACAGACAGTTTGGGACTGGCCTGGAGCCTGGAATGTCACAGAGGCACCACCAGCACCTTGACCACCACCACCCAGTCCTGAACCTTTCACGCAGGAAGGAGGAAACTGTGGCTGCTTCTGCTGATCACACATCTTGCTGTGGTTTTGCAAAATCTGAAAAGAAAAGCTTCATAAGAACCATTATGGTCTGGGAGACAGTTCAGCAGTCTAAGTGCCTGCCTAGCAAGTACGAGGACTCAGGCTCCATCCCTGAGTGTGCAACACTGGCCATCGAAACCAGGCATTGTAGTGCATGCCTACCATCCCAGTGCTGGGGAGGCTACAACAGGAAAGATCACCACAAGTCCAAGCTGCATAGCAAAATCTCACAGCAAATTAATTAATTAAATATTTTTTAAAAAAATTTAGAACCGTGAAAGTAGGCAGGTTGAGTTTCCTTCCTTCCTACTCCTTTCTGTATCAGCAGTACAAATTACCCATGTAACACTGCTGTTCCCCAGCTTACTTCTCCCGTAATTAAATCCAAGAAGCTTTCCTTCCTCCTGGACAGGCAGGCAGTACTCCAGGAAGGCAAATTTATGTCAGAGCCAATGCGAGTCTCAAAATGAGCTAAACGGGTCACAAAACCAAGGTCCAAGTAGAAAAAGTTTCCATCATTTCTTCCTCAGAGATGATATGATATCAGCTAGATATTGTTTTTCTTCATTAACAAGTGGACCCAAGAGAGGACTGCACAAATATGGGCAGATAATGAGAATGGGGAAGCCAGTTCTCAGAAGTCCCTTCCCAGATGGACTGTCCAGCTCAGTACACACCTCTCCTATCCTCTGGTACCCCAGGTGCTGAGCTCTTTGCCCACTGACCGTCCTCCCCTTCATAGGCATCCATGGGTTCCAGTCATGGCTCACCCCTTATCTCAGTTATCCACCCCAACTTCACACAGACTGTTTCTTTCCAAGTCCCTCTCCCAAGTACAAAGACTTACCTTTTTTCCTGGCAGGAACAAGACTGGAAGAGGCTAAAGGTCTAAGAAACTGGCAGTTGGAGAGACTTTTATAGGGCAGCAGTGAGGCAATTTAATGGCATCTAAATGAAGCATCAAACATCACGCGGATGAGGACTGCTGTTGCATTGGCAAGATTCCTCCCCAGTATGCCTCGCTCTTCAGTCAGAGGCAGGGCATGTCTCTACTTGGCACTGAATGTTCCTAAACTTCAGATAAGTGATTCCGGCTGTGTTCTACATCAATCTAGTCCGTCTTCTTTTCCTAGAAGTTATGAATAATTCCCACGCAATCTGCTTTTAATCAAGCTGTTTCAAAGTCTCTTGAATCTTCAAGGTATGGTCAGACGTGCCCCAGTGGTCTCTGGCTCAACATACCATCAAGGCTTCCCAGGAATAACTTATTCCATGAACCAATAGGTTATTCTAAGATTATTTGCACAACTGGTTGGGTGCTTGATAATTCCAGGCACCAAGCTCCATGTCTACACTGTGTCTCCTCAGCCTTTTCATATTCTCTGATCTCCACCACCTCAGCCTTCCTACCCCCTCATTCCCAGGAATAAACCATAGAACCCAGCTAAATGAAGACTGTATGACAACAATCATATCAGAGTCTAACATTAATTTGAATGTCTTCCATGTGCCAGAAAATTTATGTGGCAGGTACATTTGCAGACAGATGCAAATGAGGCCCTGAAGGACTGAGACAATTGTTCATCAACCAAAGCAAGTGAGTAGGAATTGCAGAATTTAGGTGTAGCCAATGTGCTTTTATAGAATTGATCTATACCACTGTAATATGTTACCTTTCATGTTGAACGCAGGATTAACTTTGAGTCCCTGTCATCTTTCATTTCCCCTATCAGTAAATATGAAAGAAAAGTGGAAACATTTGTTGAGAAGTTGCTATGTGCTAAGCATTACTCTCGCCTTTTCCCCTGCGTTTAATTCTTGTGATAATCTTGTGAAGTAGGCCATGTTCATCCCATTTAAAAATATTTCCTTACATTTTATTAGCACATTTTTGAAATTCATGCTGTTTATAATTGCCTTGGGAGTGGCTAAATGAGCATATTGCAGCTCTTAGGTCAAAGAGGTCCATAATTTTTTTTTCTAAAATAGATTCTCCATTCCTTAAAACCCATAAGTTTTAGACTTCCAAATTTCCTAAGCAAAGAAAACAAAAAGCCCCACTAGCTTGCACATCCCCCTCCGTTCCAAGCCAATTCTTAAGGTCTGCCCTGAAAAATTTGGATAAAACAGAAAGGTTGGTTCTCCCAAAGCTTGAAAAAAATATTGCCTCCTTCTGCTACACACACACACACACACACACACACACAAACACACACACACACAATGGGTTTGCCACACTCCACAGTTTCCTCTGTAGAGCCCACAAGTCCCTCATCCAAATGGATGGGCAGCAGAGGAGGGAGGTTGGTCCAGGCCATCCCAACCCTGTTATCCTATGTGCCCTGCCTCAGTTGTTGCCTGGGTCTGGTGCTCTGTGGAGATATGGGCAAAGGAACAATTTCTTACTGCCATCAAACATGTCACATAATTCATCAAAGTTTGTCTTTGCAATAGCCTCCCAAATAAACAAAAAATAGCACACAAACAACTTTCTTGAGCTCCCAGAGTTAAAAGCAATTGAGCTAGAATTTGAATCCATAAGAGACTTCAAACTGGTACTGAATTCCCACCGCAGCACGCTGCTTCTGGCATCAAGATCTGTGATGCTTTAGGAACCACACTCTGTGGTCATCCCACAGACAGGCAGCCACTGAGGAGCCCTATAGGTTATATGTAGGATGGGACAGACTCACTTCATATCATGTAAGATGTCCCAGGAGGCCACTTGTTTTAGGGCATGTCCATAAAACAAGACACCTTCAGTGCACAAAGAGGGAGACGTGTTCTGATTCTATCACTGCCTTGTACTGTTATTTCCTGATGTTCTGCCTTCTCTAGGTCTTTTCTCTTATTCTCCAAAATACTGAGATGGCAATATATATATATCACCTAGCTGTTTGTGTAATTATTCCCACAAGATTATAATTTTCATGTACTAGTAACTGTGCACAATTAACTATATATCATCACAGGACCTGGGAAACATGATTTGAATAAATGAATAAATGTATGCGCAAACGAGGATGCTTTACATGGATACCACAACCCAGAACAACCTCCGTCCTCACCTACTGAGTGCCATCAGTCTTGCTGTTAGCCGTCTTATGCCATCTGTGAGCTCTGATTGGCTCACTTCCTGCCCTCTGGGTCAAATTATCATTAATGGGTTTGACATCTACAGGCAGCGCCATCATCTCTGGTGAGAGATACTGAATCCATGTGCCGCCCAAACAGGTGGGTGAGTTGTGCCCCGCCCGTTTCATAGGCTGGGGAGGCAAGGCATGGAGAAATCAGGTGATCAGTGCCAGTGCCGAAATGAGTCATGAGGTTATCCCCAAAAGTTTCCAGAACCTCCCTCCCATTTGTGTCCTTGGATACAAGGTCATGGAATCTCAGACTTATGGACTCATGCAATGACAGTCCATTAGACTCATGGGATAGTAGGTAGACAGATTCATCTCTGAGCTGGAAGGGACTAACACAGGTCATGGAGGCTGTCTTCTGCTTTTTCATTTCTTCTGTATTTAGGGAAGGGTCTACAGCATCTATAGTGTCTCACTACATAGATCAGACTCATAGTGATCCTCCTGTTTTCAGCCTCCCAAGAGCTGGGATTACAGGCTCATGCCAACACACCTGGTCTCCATCACCGTCTCGAGCATGCCCGCTGCATTCTGCCTAAGCAGGGGCTGGAGTCCACCGAGCTATCAGGCTGGCCCTGTCTTCTGCTTTTGTCATTTAGTAAAATGTGCCTTCTTCCTAGGAAGAGTTACTGATCTTGAAATGTTTTCGGCAGTCTCCCTGGTTAGCTGGTTTCAGGATTCACCATCTCAGTAATCAGGACCTATCTGCTAGATTAGAACTCAGGTCTCCTTTAGCATCAGTATTCATATGTCCTCCTATCCAGATGGTAAACACTGAGACTAAATCAAATGGGCAGCATGAGAAATGGACTCTTCTTTCAACTCTGACACATTGCATCTCAGAGAAGCTGTGACATCACACCTTGACCACAGATGCCACTGACTTCCACCCCTTCCCCATCCCATCACAATGTTATGGAAGCTGCAGAGTTTCCAATAGCAGTCTGTGAGCTGTCCTACTAGGGCTCTCTACAAAGGTTGAACAAAGACCATTTCCAGGGTTCTGATTGAGCACAGCTGTCTGGCAAATCCTAGAACTCCAGACGAGATCCTGAGAGGCACCACCTTGCCACCAAGAGCTCCCATATCGCTGCTTGATCCCAAGGGCTCTTTTTCATCTTCAGCCTCTCCAAGACATCTATAGAAAAGTCCCAGAATCAGATTCTTCTGTGTTTCAAATAGCCACAATGGTCTGTCTTTATGGCCAAACTCTGGCATCCTGGATACATAGTATAGAGTCCACTCTTCCCAGGGACAAGATGAGAAGCTCTTGACAAGTGAAGATAAGTAAATATGTGGCTTTGGTTGGTGTTAAGTGCAAGAACAGCCTAGTTCTTGATAATACCAACAGCCGAGCTTTCTACAGTTGTTTTCTCAAAGAGCCCAAGAGTTGCTCTAGTGCCTGGCAGTTTCCAATACTAGATTCATCACACCCAGTGCTTCTTCCTCGAGAAATCTTGGAATCAGCAGAGCTCTCGAGCCAAAGGCTCCTCAGCAGCAGGACTCAAGATAGAGAAAGGAAGTGCTTTGTGGGATTTCAATCTTATTAGGTCACTGTAAATAGTCTTAAAAAAAGAAAACAACACTGTCTTAGTTTCCATAGTACTTTAACTGGGCTGTACACACATAAAACAATCAATGAAAGCAACCATGAAGATCAGTGGAATTTCCCCTCAATTTGTTTCCAGATGGACAAGGGGCTATTTTCTTATCCTAATGGGGGAAGGGAAGAAATGGTATTTATCAGTTAAGTGTATGTATCAGGCAATAACTATGCTTGTACACTTTTTACTTAAATAAATAGGATTTCCTATCTAGACAAATGGCTATTTCATTACCACTTTAAAAAAA